GGAACATAGACTGGAATATTGTTGATGAAATCCCCGATATTAATACCGCAGTAAACTTTTGGAATAAGCTGTTCCTAGATGTTGCAGAACGTCATGCCCCTACGAAACGAACTAGGATAAAAGGTTGTCATGTTCCTTGGATGACATCTGAGTTGAAAACATCTATGCAGGAACGCGACCGCTCTTTCCGTAAAGCTACCAAATCTAATTCTACTTCTGACTGGTCCAAATACAAAAGTTTGAAATCCCACGTAAATAGACAAGTCAAAAAGAGTAAATCGGAATACTACCTTAATCTTATTGAAATCTCCAAAAATAATCCAAACACTCTCTGGAAACACCTCAATGAAATTACTTCACGTAAATCGAGCTCGAACATTTCATGTATTGAAGTTGATGGAACTCCATCTACCGAACCCAGGCAAATCTCCGAAATTCTTAATAATCATTTTTCGACTATTGGTTTAACACTCGTTAATAAATTTCGCACAGTTACGTCTACCATCACCTCTGCCGTTTGTAAAGACCATCTTGAATCTGGCGTAATGTTTGCTTTTGATGTAATCGATGAGTGTTTTGTTAAATCCAAACTAAATAGTCTTAAAACAAACAAAGCGATTGGTTTGGACAACATCAGTGCCAGATTGCTAAAGGACTCCGCTGACGTTATCACAACAAGTTTGACTAAACTTTACAACCGGTCATTAGCAACCTCCGTCTTCCCAGCTGTATGGAAATGTGGCAAAGTAACTGCATTATTCAAATCCGGTGACCGCTGCAATGCCAATAATTATAGACCAATAACTATTCTACCAACTGCTAGCAAAATACTTGAAAGAGCTGTTCATAGTCAAGTCTATAGCTATCTACTTCATGAAAATATCCTGACCCCGAAACAATTTGGATTCCGCCCTAAACTCTCCACAGCAATTGCTCTCACCTACTTCACTGACAACATTCTGGATAATTTAGACAAAGGTTCTATCGCCGGTGCAGTTTTCTTAGATCTTTCGAAGGCCTTCGACACGGTTAGTCATGATCGTCTCATACAGAAACTTGGCACTATTGGTTTTTCACAGCCAACAATCAACTGGTTCTCTTCTTATCTCTCTAATCGTTTTCAAGTCACTTCTATTGGCCTTGAACAGTCGTCCACTCAACCAGTACATGTCGGAGTACCCCAAGGAAGTATACTGGGTCCTTTACTGTTTCTCATTTATGTGAATGAAATTCCCTCCACTGTTAATAACTGTGACATTTCCCTGTATGCAGATGATACAGTCCTGTTTTGCTCAGCTAAAACCATTATTGAATTGGAACAAAAGCTAAACTCTGACCTACAGAACTTATCTCGTTGGTTTGGTGCTAACCGTTTAACTCTTAACACTTCTAAATGCAAATTTATGGTTTTCGGAAGTAATGCCAAACTTGCCAAACTACAAAATATAAATCTTCTTATTAATAATAGCCCACTAAATCGTGTTGAATCATTTAAGTATCTTGGTATAACCTTAAATCAGACATTATCGTGGTCAGATCATATTGAAGCACTCTTTACCAAAGTTAATCAACGTCTTGGTATCATACGAAGAGTTAAACACCTCCTAACTGTTGAATCTCGTCGTACTCTAGTAAACAGCCTTGTCATGCCGATCTTTGACTACGCTGATTTTGTGTGGGGTGATAAAAACAACTCTGTCCTGATGAACCACCTTCAAGTTCTTCACAACAAAGCCGCTAAAATCATTCTTGACGCTCATCCACTCTCGTCAGCCTCAGAATCCCTACGATCGTTAAATTGGCAGCCGTTAGCAACTCGTAGACACCTTCACCGTTGTCTAATCATGCACAAGTGTTTAAACAATGACATCGATTTTAAATTTAATTTCAAGTTCTCCTCTGACATCCACAGCTACAACACTCGAAACAAACAGAACATACATTTGGAACGCGTGAAGAAGAACTGGGGGAAGCAGGCATTCAGCTACCATGCTGCCAACGACTGGAATAGTTTGCCAGTGGAAATCCGAAATATACAGCAAATTAAAACTTTTAAAATTAAACTAAAGAAACATTTAGCTACATAGCCATATAGGACTCACTACCGAACCGATTGGATGCGCAAGAACTTTATACGATATAACTTTTCATATATTCACTTTTGTTAGTTTTATATTTTTATTCTTTTATTTTTTTTTTATCAGGGCTCCACTGAAAATCACTTTCGTGAGTGGACCCCCTGACTAAATATTGTAATTATTATTATTATTATTATTAATTTTACGATAGTCTTCGAGAAATATTTAATTACTTAATTAATACAATGAATTATATAGCTAGTTCGCCGACGGATAAAGCACGTTTTTATATCTCTAATGCTCCGCGGACAGGTTTTTCAACATGTATTTTAAATGTTTCTGATTTTAACGTTGAAATGTTTTTTGATATTTTTGAAAAACATATGCAAAGTAACGCTCAACAGGTACTTGATGATGGTTGGAACACGACTATTAGTTTGTATATATTTCCAAATAATTTCGTTCCGCGTGCAACCGTACGGAAAAAGAAAAGAACCGCAATGTACAAGGATGTGGGTAAAAATGGGTCGGACATGGGTCGCGGTCGTAAAAAGCATGTGTCGCAAAAACATGGCCGTAAAATTCGAAACGGTGTTTTTCAAATTATTTCAAAATCCGATTGTTGTTTTGCTCTTGCAATATTGACGGGGTGTTCTTTTCTCAATAAAGACAAACGTTACGATAAACTTAATATAGACCGTAATACATCACTTGACAAACTATATACAAACGATGAGATTACAAACGTATACACGCAAAGTGGGCTAAATCAAGGAGGTGTTCGTATCGATCAATTACACTGTGTTTATGAGAAATTTTTATGTGCGCAAAATATCAATCTGGTCGTGTTTTCTAAAAACAATGACGATAATATTGTTTATGATTCGCGAATGAATAATACCGAGACTATTTGTCGTACAAATTCAAGAGTTATATTTCTATGGCTTAACGATAGACATTTTGATCTAATAGTATCACCACAGACATTTTTAAAATTAAACGCAAGTACTTTTTGTTTTAGTTGCATGCATTATTTACGGGCATGGGAACGTGGTCATTCGCACGTTTGTCGCACATCAATTTCCTGTTTAAATTGCTATAGTAATAGTATAAAGTGTCCGGAAGAGGATAAATTTTTTATTCAATGTCCGCAGTGTGGCGTAAATTTTAAAAACAGCGCATGCTATACTCGCCATCTTACAAAACAAGTATTTACAGGACAAAAACGGTCGGCTCAGAAACGTTCTCGTTTAACACCGTGTCAACAAATGTTTTTTTGTAAAACATGCTACAAAAAAGTTCCGCGTATGACCGTGGTGGGGAAAAAAACGACACGTCATCAGTGTAATATGATTTTTTGTAAACATTGTAACGGGTATAAAAAAACAGATCATAATTGTTATATGAAAACGTGTAAGGTGGCCACGACACGTTGTACATTGCCAACCCTTTATTTTTTCGATTTTGAAACGCAAAAAGATCACGCTAACTATATGGTTCCATTTTATGCGGTTATTCAAAAAGTATGTTGTTTATGCGATCAAAAGCCATTTGTTAGAAATCACGAACATTTTATACCGCATCCCGAGGACCCGACATGCGATATATCTGTAGAATGTGTGCCCTGTTGCGGCTATCGACAATATGTTCTAGAACAACAAAATGAGTGTATTACGTCACAATTTATTAATTTTATGTATGCACAACCTAAAAATAGTGTATGGATAGCGCACAACGGTGGACGGTTTGATACGGTTTTTTTACTTCGTGAATTATTACTTGAACGAAAAGTTGTGCCGCAATGTATTATGAACGGTAATAAAATTATGTGTCTGGAATTAGAAGATCGAAATCTAAAAGTAATTGACAGTTTTTTATTTTTAAATATGGCTTTGCGAAAATTTCCCGAAGCTTTGGGTATTCCAGATATTTGCAAGGGATTTCATCCATATCGTTTTTACGATTTAACCTACGTTGGTAGTATGGTCGGGTTACAATATTTTGATTTGCCCGAAAAGGGTTCTAAAGAGCGGGAAAAATTTGATACCTGGTATAAGGAACAACAACAGAAAACGTATATTTTTAAAGACGCCATGTATTATTATTGCCGCCTCGATGTTGATATATTGAGACAGGGGTGCATTATATTTGCACGATTAATAAAGGACATCACTAACGTATTTCCATTTTATGATAAAACTTGCCACACGATTGCGGGTTTAGCTTTGAAAGTCTATCGTACCAATTTTTTAAATGAAAATACTATAGGGCAGATACCCGCACAGGGTTATGGGGGTAATGTAAATCAAAGTACAATTGCGTTGTATTGGTGTGCTACATAGTAAATTATCGTCGGATGGCGAAAGTAAAATTATGGGGCGGTACGTTGACGGCTACTGTGCCGAAACGAATACGATCTATCAATTTCACGGGTGTTTTTTTCACGGATGTAAAACATGTTACGATTCTGATAAATTCAATATGGTTGTTAATGAAACGTTTTATACGTTGCGTGAGCGTACACGCCGTCTTACAGAGGAATTTAAACGTCAGGGTTATGTTGTCGTTGAAATGTGGGAATGTGATTTTATACGCGATAATAAATTAACTCAACACGGATTAAAGTTGTTACGGCAACGGGATTTTTTTATAAATATTCATTTGAATCCCCGTGACGCCTTGTTTGGGGGTCGAGTTTCACCGGCGGTTATGTACGCCGAAAGTGGGGATAAAAAAATACGCTATTATGATTTTACTTCTTTATATCCCTTTGTGCAGAAAAAATATCAATATCCTACACAACATCCTACGATTATACGCGGTGTTGAGAATTGTGCACGTTATAATATCGATCATATCTTTGGATTAATTAAATGTAAAATATTACCGCCCACAAATCTTTTATTTCCCGTTTTACCATATCGTGCAACCAAATTAACATTTCCACTATGCCGTACATGTGCGGATACGTTATGTGACGCGTGTACGCATGTGGATGAGGAAGAACGTATTTTATTTGGCACATGGACTAGTGTTGAAATACAAACGGCTCTACAACATGGGTATGTTATAAGGGAAATTTATGAAATGTATAACTATGAACACCGTGAGAAAATTTTCGACACTTATGTTAATATGTTTATAAAATTAAAGCAGGAGAGTAGTGGTGTACCCCGACATTGTTATGATGATGATACGGGTGAAATTGATGATGCAAAAGTAAATGAATACGTTGCAGAATATTTAAAACATGAAGGGGTAAAATTGGATGCCAATAAAATTACATATAATCCCGGACAAAGAACGGTTATGAAAGCATTACTAAATTCGTTGTGGGGTAAATTAGCGCAGAATGAAGATACAGCGGTTGTGTCGTTTATAGACGAGTTTGAAGAATTGTTACAATTAGTAAATGACAATAGTATTGATGTTACATCGTTGGATTTTATAAGTGACGATGTTGCACGAACAACGCATCGAAAAACGGGGTCCCTAATTACACTTCCAAATAGAAATGTAGTAATTGCGTCGTTTGCGACGGCTTATGCCCGTTTAGAATTATTTAAAATTTTACATTGTTTACAAGAAGACGTACTGTATTACGATACGGATTCCGTAATATATGTGGAGAATGTTGCTAAGGGGCATGTTTTAAAAACGGGTAGTTATTTGTGGCAATTGACGGATGAATTAGTTGATAAAAAAGCAAGTGAAAAATGGATTGAATTATTTTCGGCGGCAGGACCCAAAGCGTATTCGTACCGTACGAACGAATATATTTATACACACGATGATGGTGCACGTGAGAAAAAACGTGACGAAATTACGCACGTAAAAGGATTTACGTTGAAGGGTGATACAAAAAAAAAATCACATTTGAAAGTATTACGCAATGTGTACGAGATCGAAAAAAGGAAATTTGCACACGTTACACGGAATTTACACGCGCAAATAATCAAACTATTAATGTTCAAGAGGCTGAGAAAAAATTTCGTTTTACATTCGGTAAACGTATTATTCGTTCTGATTTTACAACTATTCCATACGGTTATATTGATTAATTTATTGTTTTGTTATAGGGTAACAATTTGAAATGTTGTACAATACCATTTGAACACCCGTTTATGATGATGGTGTGCGGGCCTTCGCAAAGTGGTAAATCGTATTTCATCGAAAATATAATAAAGAATCACGAAAAATTAATTACGCCTCGAATTGACAAGCTAATTTATCTGTATACTGTGGACAAATATGACAGTATTAAACAACACATACGTGATAACAAACAGACATCGACACTTAAAACATTTGAATTTATTGATTGTAATCAGGGCATTCCGTCAATGGAAATAATTAAAGAAAAATTAGGCGAAAATACATTGCTGGTTCTCGACGATTTGATGGTTGTTGCCACAACTGATACTACAAATTTGCGACATTTAAATAATATTGCGTCGCGTGATAGCCATCATTCAAATACGTTTGTAATTTATGTATGTCAAAATTTAAATTTTGGTTCGGGAAAATTACGAAATTGCCGTGTAAACAGTCAATATCATATAATGTGTAAAAGTCTTACGGATTGTAGAGATGTAGAAATGATTGCGACCAATAAAAAAATAAATCAAAATAAATTGCATAAAATTCTTGAAGATGTTGGTAAAAAACAATATGGCTATATTGTATTTGATGGTTGCCCCAAGGGGTATGATAATGCACGTGTGAGAACAGGAATTTTCCCCAACGATGAGACTGTAATATATGATGTATAGAGAATAAAATTTTTTTTAAATTTTTTGTATTTGTTCTACATATGATTTACATATTTGTCCTTTACTATTAATACATTTACGTCGGTATAATTGTTTTAAAGTAGAAAATAAGGAATAACATGTTTCTTGCAAAATATCCTCGTTTTGCATTAAATTATTAATATTTGTCGTAAATAAGTTTGTTTTTATAACATGCGTTCCAGTATAATAAGATTTTAAAAATAATAAACACCAGCAACCACATGTTCGGCTAACGTGTGCCTGAAGATGATTTGTATTGTATAATTGCATTTTACAATTTATTTTTTCAAAGTATTTTTCCCAAAAATGTCGTTTAAAAAAAAAAGGTGTTTTACCATAACTATCAAAAAAATAAATAATATCTTTTTCTTTTACAACAGCCACCCAATGTGTTCCGGGTTTATCTTGCTTGTCAACATTCCAAATCCAGCAACATTTTTCAGCATTTACATTTTTAGTAGTTACATCTGCAGGATAACAACCCAAATAATATGGTGAAATATCCAAATCACGTCTTGCTTGTTCATTTAAATCGTCAGTATTTAAGAATTTACTGATAAAACAGGTTAATTCGGTCATTTTTTTAATAATTCATAAATGGTCGTAATTGTCCTTTACGATTTAAATGCTGAGGTCCCGCGCTCTGTGGACGTCGCGGCGTTGTATAAGGAGGTGGTGGTGAAGATGTTGAGGGTAATGCTTCGCTACCGTTACTAGCTCTATCAATGATATCACGATACTGATTTTTAAGTTTTTGACTTCGTATATAAGCAACGGGCATACGAAGTTTTTTTAATTCTGTTAATAATTTTGTATGTTGAGATGGTATTAAATTTGTACTTGTGGTTTTTACATTTCTTGTAAGATCTTCAATCATATCATCGTAGGCAAAATTAAGTGTTTTACCGCCAATTTTTACACCCTTGTCGGTTTCTTTAACACCTTTATTCTTTAAAAATGAACGTATTACACGATCGGCGGCAGCCACAGAACCTTTTTTAAATTGTGTAGCATCACCATCACCATCTTCTGCAGGCGGGGGTGCGGGTGTAGCTGCAGATAAAGCTTTTTGTTCTTTAAGATAATTTTTCTTCTTTTTTGTAAATTGAATAATATCGTCTGTTGCATGAGCGGGTTTGCGTGCTACACTGTCCATCATTGTTGCGTGACCTTCAAGTAATTCGCCTTCGGCGGCTGTTTGTTTTGCCTCGTTTAAAATTTTTTTGTCCCCCACTAGTTTTTCCAGAGTCTGTAGCATCGTGTTGTGTCTCTCGCCGTCGATTAACATTAGTCGTTTCACGTCGTCTCCCATTTTTAATATTTTCTATATTCGCAATAGCTTTATTACAATAATATTGGACGGGAAATTGTTCGAGTAGGTGTAATTGCACGTCCTCTTTAGGTGTAGATCTATCCGAAATGTATTGAAATAATGCCTTATCACAACCTGATATATCCGTAGGTATTTTACCATTTGCAATATTACGACATAAAAATATCATATGGTTTATAAGTTGGGGATGATCGTTGAGCATTTTTTGTTTTTTTTTAAAACTTGAAACTACAAATTTTTTAGTTAAAGGTAAAAAACGATCTTGTTTTTGTTTTTGAATACTATTTTGATGTACGTCCCAAATTTGTTTTAAAAATAAAGCACAGGTTTCATTTGATATTGCTTTTTCATCATCATTTTCAATATCTCCGTTATAGTTTTCATCATCCTCATCATCATCGTCATTATTAACGTTATCACCCATATCATCCTCATCATCATCATCATCATCACTGTACGGTACAAGTAACACCTGATTGGCATCAGTATTAAGGGTATTTTCATCATTATCATCCTCGTTATTGTCGGTATAGTATTCTTCGTTATCGTATTCATCATCATCATTATTTTGGGAATTTATGGGTTTCATTAATTCTTTTTCTTCATTTAAAAATGTATGTTCCGTTTCAGCCATATTTTGATATTAAAGGTTTCACGTGTACTGTTCGCACCGTAATACCGCCCCAGCCAATAACGTGATTTCGTTTTGTACCGGGTATAATTAAACGGTTTCGCGGTGTTCTAATAAGTAACCTTTTTCGTTTAACAGGCATCGCAGGTATGACTGGTTGAACATTAACTCGTCGAATTTTAACCTTGCTTCAGTCCGACGGTCGTATAATTTATTGTTATTTATTAGTTCCACATGATGCATTTAATACACGAATTTTAAACGTGCTTCGGTTTGGTAAGCACACGATAATTGATTTCTAAATTCGCCAATAACAATCAATTGACTATTATGGGCAAGATTTCCAGTAAGACGCAATTCAAGACTGATAACACCGCTTGTTGTGTTGGGTAATATTTGATTGTAACTATCTCTATTTTCACTTAAATCAAAAGCAACAAGACCGTAATCAGTCAAAAAATTATCGTAACTAAATGGCATTTCATCATGCGTTCGATTTAAAATACGTCGCAAATTAATGTACGCTTCTTGTGAATTTTCAATTTGTGGTTCGATAGTTGCTTCATTAATTTTTAAGCTTAAATTTTCAAAATTTGCTGGAAAAATCATACGATTAGGATTTAGAGTATGTGCGCCATTATATCGATTTTGCCGACGTAAATAGACAAATACACGCGTCGGACGTGCCCCTGTAAAAATATCATTTTTAACATATTTTTGAGCACCTTGTACTAAAGGTATAGGTACATATCGATGATGACGCACATAATATTTAGCTTCTTCACCTTTTTGAATCATGGCCGTATTAATAGCGGTCATTAATTGCTGTTGTGGTTTAAAAGCGGGAATATGAATTTCTAAATTTTTATATTTAATTTTTGCCGCCGCACAATGAGCGGCATCACCAAATAAGGTTTTAGTTTTTTCCAAACGTGCTAAACGAACTTTTAATTCAAATGAAGATAGTACATAGCGCTTGTTATCACCCATTAAATTAATGACATCGTAGCATTTAAATTGTGTAGCTTGATTACATAAATTATAACGTGCGCCCATGCCCTTGTTTACGAATCCTGCGTTACCATGATCCAGCATTTGGGCGATACTATCGCTTACACCCGGGGTATTATGGATACAACCCGTAATATGTTTGTCGGGGTTGTAACCCGAAGGTATTTCGCGCATTAAATGATCAAGATAAGCAATTTCATTTTCTTGAGATGATAATGAATTGATACGTTGATTATTCAACAATACTTCTCTTGATTTCCAACAAAATCGTAACGGAGATTGATTTAATGAAACCTCTTGATCGTTTCCCAAAGCTGCGTTAGCTGCGGTAGTTAGTTGGATGGTTGCTGTAATTTTAGCATGTTGAAGATCCATAACACCATAATCATTGGGTGTGTGTTGAAGTGTAAATTCCTCGGCATCGGGATTAGCTACGGGTCCAGCTATTAATTTAAATTTACGCGAATCTATAAACGTATCATTATAGGAAATGTAGGAAATATAACCATAGGCGATATAAACCCACTATCGTGAACTTCGACGGGTTCATCATCGACTGGCGCCGCACGTTTCATCTTGTATGTTTGAAAGCTAAGACGTGAATGAAAAAAAGAACTATACACACAGATAATATAAATAATTTTATTCATTTCTTTACATGAAATTAATATATTCGATATTTATTATTGTTCCGTCGTGGTTTTTTGATACGACCTCCTCTTTGCCGCATCATTGGCGGTGGTGGTGGTGAATAATAATAGAGACCTTAAGATTGACGTTTACGGCAAACGTCAAACCGCTAGCGAAGTTTTTGATTTTACAACTCTATTATTATAGCTTTTACACCAGTTTTGAAATATGTTAAACTTATTAAACTTGTGCTCTTTATCAATGATTTAAAGAAAGCAAATTAACCACTAGTCATCCCATTCACCAAAGCAGTAAATTAAGATTTGGCGTTTGAAGTTGACGTTTGGCGTATAAATTTCATGCTTGAACTGCTACGAGGGCTTGTAGTCGTTAAAGCATGAAATTTATACGCCAAACGTCAATTTCAATCGCCAAATCTTAATTTACTGCTTTGGTGAATGGCATGACTAGTGGTTAATTTGCTTTCTTAAATCATTGATAAAGAGCACAAGTTTAATAAGTTTAACATATTTCAAAACTGGTGTGAAAGCTATAATAATAGA